TTTATCCTTGTTGCTTACCAAATGTTAAACAAGGACAATGGATGCATCATGCGCATCATGCGCGATACGGAACGCACCTCAGGGTTGCACTAGTTTTCCCAGTGAAATTTTTTCAGAATTTTTTAATATCGTATTTTCTCGTGATAAAAATAAGAAAATGCAGTACTAAAAAGATGATTAAAAATTCTGAAAAAATTCTCAGAACTTTACGAGAAGAAAATAAATGATTTTTGTTTCTTGCAGTTTTTCTGTAAAGTTGATATTATTTGAGGAAAAAATTATTCAAAACTAATATTTGACAATTTTTAGTAATTAATATCTTGTTAACTATTGCGAAAATTGCAAAATGGTAGAGGACTTTCGACTCAGTTTAGTTCGCTCTATCTATACAAAAATGATTGGCAAAAAAGTTCGGGACACCCTGTATAATTACGATTGAATACGAAAATTGTTCATTTCTTTATTTTAAGTCATTCATATTTTATGTAGCCTATCATAAGTTACAACATATGAAAAAAACTGATTTCACCGAAAGTCAATTTCTTATGGGATTGCTGCTGTTTTTTTTCGTGTATACGTGGACAATTATTTAACAAACTATAATTCTTTTTATAAATAAATATAAGGATATACTGAATTTTTTTCATATACTGCCACAATGCCGATTCTTATCTCTTCTAGAACAGTCTGCATCTGACGGATGCTATCCAATTTCAACATTATCACCTCCGGCGAATCAAATACGTGAATGAGACAAGAACCCGGACCCTCATGACCGATAGTCCTGCTGACCTACTTCCGTCTTGCTTCTTGATTTGCTACGAGAATTACACTACTTACTCCTTACTTATCCCCCCACCCTAAGCACGATCCTATATTTTGCTCTTCTAGCAAATGCACCGCAAATGAGTTTCCTTTATGTGTACATTTTTACAAACGATATCAATTTAAAGACAAGTTTGTTTGCGGAATGAAAATTATAGAAGAACATCGAGAAGGAACGAGAGAAAGTCATAGTAATTTAAATCATCAACCGGTTGTTTCTTACGTGTAATACACTACTCAACAAAATTAAAGGATCACTTGTTCCATCCTGCAAAAATAGGTAAATTTCGAGATAGAATAACTTCGTTAAAAATCATCGTATCAAGATTTTTAAAAAAGCATTCTGAAGCTTGAAATCTCTACTTTTCAAACCTGTCCTTTAAAAAACCGTATTACTCATATTTCATAAAGTTACACAAACATAAATAAAGATGCATCAGATCTCAAAATTTTTTACGAAATTTGCGAAGTTCCACGGAGCCAAGTAAAAATTGTACACAAAAATGCGGTTCACTCTTTCGAAAGATGTCAATGGCGTTTGCGTACAATTTTTACTTGGCTCCGTGGAACTTCGCAAATTTCGTAAAAAATTTTGAGATCTGATTCATCTTCATTTATGTTTGTGTAACTTTATGAAATATGAGTAATACGGTTTTTTAAAGTACAGGTTTAAAAAGTAGAGATTTCAAGCTTTAGAATGCTTTTTTATAAATCTCGATACGATAATTTTTGACGAAGTTATTCTATCTTGAAATTTACCTATTTTTGCAGGATGGAATGATCCTTTAATTTTGTTGAGTAGCGTAGTTAAGGACAATAATTGTTAAGGACAACAATTGTTGATAATTTACTTGGTCGCCGCTAATTGCATTAGCAGAGCTGTCATACCGGCGCGAAATTAATTTGGCCTGGTCCGCTTGTCTATTTACGTGTTGTCTACAATAGATCGAGAAATAATCTTTAAGCCGTAAGAAACTGATAAATCACCATTGTATGTGAGAAGAATGATCGTCTGATTTGCTAATTTCCTACGGCTTAAAACTTATTTCTCTATTGTAGACGACGCATTACTGGAAACTAGGGTGTGCGAAATATTTGAAAAGAAACGCTTAGAAAAAGAATCTGCACCAATTGCAAAAGGCAAAGCTTTATCAAATCGAGCTCTAAAAAGTTCTCTTTCAGGCTTAAGCTAAATGTACCAATTAGTGAACATGAACTAATTGTTGAACAAAGTAATAAAACATTTCAAATATTAAGTTCGTAATAATATATACGACTTTAAATAAATTCGTTATTAAATGTTTATAAACAAATTTTATTTAGAGTCGTACATATCATTAAAAGCTTAATATTTAACATTTTGTACTACTTTGTCCAACGAATTGAGTCATGTCTACTAATTGCTAATTGATACATTTACCTTACTTTAGTCGGCCAAAGCTGGTGTTACGCCACTGCGTAAGTGCGGCATGAATTTAACGGTGTTGCGGTTGTGTGGTATATGTATACAGTTAATACTCATTGTCGGGCAAACCGTACGCGATTGGCTGACCCGTAATCCGGATTCGTCCTCGGCTGACCTCGTTGTTGACTGACCTACTAGCTGATAACGCCATGTTACATGGTCAGCGTAGAATTAGCTCGCTTCGATATTTAATTGCACGGCGTCACGGAATAAAAATGCTTCGTACCACTAATAACGGTATTCCTTATTATCTTTTTTTACCTCAAGAAGTAGATAATTATCAATATGACGCGCGTTCAAGGTTCCCTAGCCGAAGAGCGTACTCTCAAAAAAAGCAAAATAATTTTACAAACGATAATGTGATATCTTTGAAATTTCAAAATTCGCTATAATAATTTTATAGTCATGAGAACGAGAATTGTTTTGAGAACTATTAAAATTTTTTAATATAATTATTGCCACAAATACGACGTTATCAATATTATTTTATTAATTGTAATTATTAAATATAAATACACATATAAATACATACATATACATACATATAAATACATACATATACATATATATAAATACATACATAAATTAATAGTTATAACTATTAAATTAAGTAGTAATTTACCCCCAAAGACATTAGCTTTAGCAAAGGACTGCAGAGTAAGGGTTTCTACTCCTCGTACGATTAAATTGAGATTAATAATCAATTTAATTACTGTGTTGATATCAAGCAATAATGAATAATTCGAAATATAAGTGTAACTAACGCAATTAATAAATTAATATTAAATTGACGATCTGTCAAATGATCAAAATTAATAAGTTTACTTATTCCAAATTTTTCTTTCTCTTTAATTTTACAGCTTTCAATTCTTTTGTGTGGAATCGCAGAATGATGCACGTTTATCACAATGCGATCGGCATCCTGCTGAATACGACGCATTTTGATGCAAGGCTGTGCATAGATTTGCAAATGACAGATTTGTAATTTCATTAATGGCAATTTTGATTGCGAGTCGGATAATAGCACGCGGCTGAATATGCAACAAGTCATGCGAGTATCAATCAAATTATTACATCAACTTGTTCCGCGTGATGGCCGTAAAAGCAGTTTACTGACACAATAGTCGGCGTTATATCCAGCTCTGCGAAGTATAAAGTATAATACGTAATTATAAATAAAGATGAAATACAGACCATACGTTTTATCTATAAGTAGTGTCATTTCTTTATTTAAAGCAAAAATAATTTTGCTCACCTTGAGTTCATCTTAAACACTTAGCAATTGTATTCTATTTTGTAAATAATAATAGAAGTATTTAAAATTAAACAGTTTTATATCCCCAAACTCCTGCAGAAACCAATTTCAAAGATGTCCTGCTTGTTCGGTTGTTTATTATCAGAGGTATCAAAACTGAAGAATGTGATTAATATCCTGAGAAGGTATTTGTATGTCTTGAAGAAGATCTTTGGCATATTCTAAATATTAAATGTATAACATGACGTGAGTATAGCAATCTACAGTGCGGACATTATTTTTACATGTCATTGTGCAGTGACGGCATTGCGAGGAACTGCCCTAAACGCAGAAATAAATCTTGTAAAGAAGTAAAGGATAAAAAAGTATCTAGAAGATATGGGTAAACTCTTACTTCTAATTCTCTTTTTCTTTTCTTCTTCTCCTATTTTTTCTTCTTTTTTTTCTCTTTTCTTCTTATAAAAATATCCGTTCTGAGATGGGACACGGTTCCATGAGTAAATAAGAAATTATTTACTCATCTCTAAGTCCGGCGGTACCCTACATTTCTACCATGAGCTACGTACTCTTTGGCGTCACGTAGCTGCAAGACCCGCGGAGAGACCCAGAAACGCATTCGGCGGTGACCGTGCCCCCTCTTTCTACAGAACCGTACTGCCCGACTGGTGTCGGGCAGTGCTTTACACGGATCTCTCAGCCGCACAGATGCATGTGCACAACCGTGTTGCGAAAGAATTATGCTGGTCGAATTTTTATCAATCGAAGGTTATTACGTATCGAGACGAGTTGCTTCTACCGTATGCACGCTACGCAATGCATACCTCTCCTCTTCGATCTTTCTCTTTACGTCTACTGACTCCCTCGTTCTCCTTTGTTCTCCGTCTTTGTAACGCGGACTTCACGATCGTGACTCAGCCGCGCTAAGGAGTCAAGACTGAATAGCCGAGAATGAAATTTTAAACACGTGAATTTTTCGTTGAGCAGATTCGTAAATATATGCGATAATAAAGATTCTAAGATAGCTATTAAAAAATTTTATAATTTTCGATATCAATTGGCAATTAAATCAAATGAATTAAAGTTTTCTTTCTGTCTGTGATAAAAATTTATGTGTAATATTTTAAAAAATCTAAGAATCGGATAAATCGATTTATTCTCGTTTACTTTCTAATTTAATTTTAATTTATTTGACATTACAATTTATGAACGGTGTTCGTGGCTTCAATAATTGCGAAGTTCCACTAATTACCCGAATTTTGGTCGTCTTGATCCCTATCATTTTCGCTCCAGATGAGGAGGTGGACAACGGTAATGGAGAGGACAACTCTAACGATGGCGAGGATGTCGACAAATAGTCGACACAACGCACAGGAAGAAGAAGAAAAGAGACGAATGTTCGGTGAAGCTTACCAAGCGGCTATTTGGAACACGGTCGATCAGTTCCTTCGGCGCCTTCGCACCGTGGATGCGAACATACAAACGTTCTTTGTCGCCAATTTTAAACACGCATCTCTATTCTCTGATCGAGTAAAACGAGACGTCGGGGAATCCCGCAAAAAATTGCGCGTTTTTTCGAATTGGTGATCATCTCAAAAGGATTGGTCGAACATTGTAAATCTGTTACTAGAAAGCAAAATTAGATCAGGGAGAATGTTTCGTGACATAGTTCGTGACAGTGTCTGACAAAGTCTGAAGTCGCTCGATTCATCTTAAAAGATTCAATCGGTACGAACAATTTTACAATAATCGATGAAAGAGATTAGTGAGAGTGTAATTTGCATTTTAATTTGTAATGTGTTAGTTTATGATACAATTGGAGTTACATACATAAAACAAAGTTAAATATGTTCTTAATTTACATTAAATAATCTTTTGAAAAATATTTACTTTTTTGTTACTAAATCTTCAAAAGCTTCAATAAAAATTAGTGACTAATTTTTTGATATCCAGTTTGAAAAGAGGTCTGCAATAAAGGAAAATCGTTTTTCCAGACGCATACACTATTATCTATAAGAAACATATAGTATAATTAATTTTATTAATTTTATTTTCGCATTTGTATCTGTTTTGTATCGAGCTATATTTCCTCACAAAATTCACTTTTTACAAACAAATCAAACAAAAAATTACGAAGCTTTGCCTTTTTCTGGTAAGGTCACAAGTGAAAAAACTCGCTATATATTGCAATTAGTATAATTAACCCAGATTTTCCCTTATTGAACGGCACAGAGGTCAAAGCTGCACATTATAATAGACGGTCGAGATGTCTTCGATTGCGTAGCAAAGAAATTACACCGTTCAATTGCATAGTGCTACTCGATATAATATAATTAATATCTATCATTTATAATTAATAACGTCATAGTTAAAAAAATTTGCAATTAATTATTTTAAAATTATCCAAAAGTTTAATTATAGAGAATGAAAAGTCAAACTAATATATAAGCATCATGGCGCTACAATAACAAGGTGCAAGCTTTATAAAGTTAGCAGGACCAAATCAGATCTATCGGAATTTTTAGTATTTATTTTGTACTAAATATATAAGTACCATTAATGATAACTTTGTACTGTGTGTTATTTAAAAAAAAATTATGACGCTGCTAGCTTAATATTAAACTGCACAGAGAGAAAAGTATTTGTGACTATAATTGCATGGTTAAAAAATTATGATTAGAAGGTCCATTTTTATGATTATTATTGCTATAATATTGGCAATAATAAATTTATATTTATAGTTCTCTCAAATATGGAAAAATGTACTATAAATTATGATAATCTGAATTATTAATATAGTAAAATATTATATACGAATGGTAAATAAAAATAATCATTTTTGTGTAATAAATGCAACCGTGATTATAGTGAATATAACTATTTTTTTAACATTCGCCAACTATTTACATGGTAATAATAACTAAGAGATATGATCAGGAAAAATTAATTCGCATGGTAACAAAACTTAATGCATGTCATAGATGTAATGATTATACTTTAATGTTGAAGCAGCTACAATGGGCACGTTTAAAACAATTATAAATTTATAGTTGACCCAAAAAATGACTGTAAATTGTAGTTCAATTATATGGAACTATTTTTTTCTCTCACAGTATGGCAAGACCAATTCAAAATAAAAGAAAAAAAGAAAAATACAGTGTTAGAAATGTTCTTAAATTTCATTAACTTTTAATGTACGTTGGTGAATGAAGTTTAATTTCTCTGTAACTGAAGGGACTATTAATGCACATGTTAATGAGATTTAAGTTTACAGTAACTGAAAAATTAAGTGTAATGAAATTTAATATACTTTTCATTTACGGATATAAATGACATTTAATTAATCGTAATTGAAATAAGTATTAATGTACGTATTAATGAAATTTAAGTTTGCAGTACATTAAATTTCAATACGTTTAACTTAAAAGTTAAGCGTATTAAAATTTAATGTACTTTTACACACATTTACGAATATTAATAATATTTTAATTAAGCCTAATACTATTAACGCTTAACGTTTAATACGTTTACGTTTCTTACATGTCATTAACGTAAATTACTTTTCAGTTACAGATCTCATACTTTTCATTAACATGTAAATTAATTTCTATAATAATGTGTTCATTAATTTCAATACACACGTTCATCACATTTAAGACTACTGTAATTTAGTTTTTATTTACATCATTCATTACATTTAATTTCGTGCATAACCACATGCTTCCTTTACATGTTAATAAAAATTCATTGAGAAATTTCTAACAGTGTACAATCATACATGTTTTGCAACATATCTGTGAAAATTGTAACCTTTGTTACGCTATTTTGGACGCTCAGTTTTTAGACAGTTATTTGTGTCAGTTGATGTCACTGTCTTTGTAAAAATGGAAAAAATCGAATATCGACGATCGCCATAATAAAAATTTAAGAACTGAGGTTCGAATTAATTAACTACCCACCGTATTTACCAGATCTGATCCCCGACATTTTCCTGTTTCCTAGGCTCAAAGTTAGGCTTGAAGAACACAGATTTTCATCAAACGAAAACTGAGATCGATTGGCACAAATGATTTTCAAACAACTGAGCGTCAAAAATGGCTACAATATTTATAAGTATCTTGCAAAACATGTACGATTGTAGTACCAGAATAATTTTGGCGAGTAATGCCATCTTCATGTTCAGGCCTCGTATATACTAGTAAAATCATTTTAAGGAGAAAAAATATAAAATGTTAAAATTTACTTTCAGTGTAGTACAAATTAGTATAAATTCGGGTAATTATGCAAAATATAGGATTTTTTTCTAATTCAGACATTATTTGGCTGCAATGCTAATAATAATCTTTGTTATGACTCAAATAATGATAATAAGTCGAGGGAGGTAAAAAAATATATAGTCTACCTATTTTTTTAATTATTTATTCTACCTTATCTCCCCCTGCCTACCCGAGTAGAAATTGTACACGGGTCCTGATAAGGTCCAAACAAGGATGATGCCTGATCAGGTAATGATGAGGAAATTCTACCAGGCCCTGAGGGCTAATGTAATGTCCGGAACGTCTTCTGCCTGATCAGGCAGACCTTATCAGGGCCTTATAAGTAGCCTCTTTTTGCGCCTTATATTTTTTAACGCAATTCTGGTAGGGTACTACTCTGGTACGGTACTACTAGGATATTTGATGCTAGGGTTAGACTAGGTTATAAATCTGCGTTCGGAAACATCACCCTAGTGTCTCCATATATCGTTTTATCCTTATTTAACATTCGGTGAACAATAAGGATAAAATAATACGCGGAAGCATTTGAGTGATGTTTCTAGTATTCAGTATTGGTTAGGTTTTAGGAGTTTTGACTGTATTTAAATTTAAAATGCCAAAGAAATATTATGAATTAATTATTTTATTAATCTGAAAGGATATATAACTTATATATAATGTACATATTATTATTTATTATATTGTATGTATCAATATAACTTTACTTTTTTAAAGCGTAAAAAAATAAAAATATTTATTTGCTCTTTCTTTGCGCTTTCTTTTGTGTTTAATTTTCGTCGGAGCAGCCAGTGTCCCTCGCTTATAACTCTTGACGGTTTAACCAGACTAGAGGGTAATGTAAGGGCAAAGAAATCAGGTCCATGTAAGAATTACCTTAAAAAAATATTGAGAAGAGTGCTCTGATTTGCACCGGATCAGACGCAAATCGGTAAAGCCATACTAGGGTGTACCCTACCGTTCCCTGATCAGGCCCAAGTGGAGAATTCCTGACTATAGGGCATACTCTACCATTTCCTGGACATGACCTGATCGTACATCGGGCGTAACCGACCAAATTTCTACTTGAGTAACACATGAATTTCCACGCAAAAGTAGTTTCATTCCATCTCCCCCTTGCCGGAATGTAAAAGGGGGGAATGTACAAAAAAAGCTCGGTCAGACAGAAGGCAGTAAATTATAATGTATAAAACTGTTCCGATTTTTTGTTCCAAGATAACCAAAATGGCGGAATCATGTACAGGGTGTTGCAGATACATACTAGGCAGTACGACGGGTTGCGCAGCAAACTTTGCATGGCCAAGCGTAGTTTAATAGACAATGACAGTGACTTTATACATTATACAATGACAATGACTTTATATTATAAAGTTTATGTTATAAAGTCACTGTCATTGTCTATAAAACCGCGTCTGCCCATGCAAAGTTTACCACGCAACTCGTCGTACTGTCTAGTATGTATCTGCAACACCCTGTACACTGTTTACTGGTGCACATAAAATCATATTTTAACAATACGTAATAACAAGGTTACGGAGTCAAGCCAGTTGTTGATGCTTAGTGTGAATTTAAAACATTAATATAAAAATAATAAAGTTGACATTTATTATTAAAAATGATAAGACACACGTTTCGACCTTTTCACATCAGGCCATCTTCAGTGTCACTAAATAAATTAGTATTACATACGCAAACGTTTAACATTGTGTTCCAATGTCCACCCTATCAATAGTACATCAAATTTCTATAGACGCAACGTATTCGTATAATAATGTTCATGAATATTCGGTGGTGCGATTCCATGTTCAGTACCATTCATATGTATAAAGAGATTTTCATGTAGGGGAGACCGGGGACAAAAGTAACACGGGACAATAGTAACATCGTCAATATTTCTTAAACTATAGATATATGTATGTGGCCGCGTGGTAAAATTCTATAAACAGATAGGCATTGAATCGTTCGTTACATGCTGATTTTCGCGTAACGTGCATGAGTGCAGAAGCAGAAACTTTTTTCATGCATCGAGTAACTTTTATTGCGTGCACAAAATTCAAAATATTTTCTTTTTATAACAAAGGTATATTGTATTATTTTAATATGTTTTAATGATTATCTGTGTTGATGTTTTTCACATTTGAGTTGATTTTTATCTAGGTTTTTATTTAAAAAATTTACTATGAATCATGAAATACCATTAGGGGACAATAGTAACATCGATGCCTGGGGTCAATTATTCAATTTTATACTGTAGAATCTGGATTTTGTAAGGACTGTTGTTACTTTGACTTACTCAATAGCATTATCAGTGACTTTTTTTATATTTGGCAAATACTTTTTGTTCGAACCATGGTGTATATCCAGGATTGATTTTTTGACAACTACATCTATTCATTGTTGGATACTCAGCGATATTTGAATGTTTGGCGTAAATCCAGGATCTACCTTCCGTCG